GTGGGCCCAAACAACGGTCCTAAGGTAGGACCCGCTCTGATACCATGTGAAAATAGGAAAACAGGAATGAATGAACTATGAATGAAAGCAGTACAAATATGAAACCCTAACTGGGTTGTACCCCCTATGGGATACCCCACTACAGCCTACACATCAGTATAAGCTATAGATATGTTCTGACATCGACAACAGGACGCCTCGCCGCGAGTCACTCTAACCGAATCCGACGTACGCCGCCATCGCTCAAAGCGAACCGTCTGGGCAAGACACCTGGTTCTTGGACAGTTGCTGCGGACAACATATGTGCTCCTCGGGACGCTTCGTTCAACGCGAACATCGACTCCAGCGAGTAGTCATCACGGTCGCCAACAACCAGAACCTGCGCACACAACGACAAGGAGTAGTTCAGCTTCAATCAAGAGAGACAAACGTCATACTGCACATGTCAAAGGTACTCATCGCAGAAGGACTCGGTTATAACTTACTGAGTGTCAGCCAGCTGATGGCGAAAGGCATCCACATAGAAGCCGACAGCACCACCCAGGAGTTTAAACTGTACCACGGGAAGGGCGGCCTCTACATCGGAAGAGCAGTTTTGAAGAACAACGTCTTCGTCCTCGATTTCGTCCCCGACCTTGGCACTGCAGATAGCGACGCCATCGTCAACTTCGCCGATTGGACACATCCCCCGGATCTCAATCCCTACTTAGCCCGGGAGGTTTCTAATACTCGCACACCATCCCTGAAGCAGAACGAACACGAGGGTTAGCAACAATTCAACAAACGGCAGTAGCAGAGACAACATCGACAGCAGTAGAGACAACATCGGCAGCAGCAGAGACAACATCGGCAGCAGCAGAGACAACATCGACAGCAGCAGAAACATCATCGGCAGCAGCAGGACGAACGACACCAGTCATCGTCCACGAAGCACCACCAACACCCGCACAGCAACTGAACCCGACTCAACGAGAAGTCCACAGAAGCGCCAATGTCGTCGCCAGCTTCTACTCCAACTCCGACGCGTATCAACGCTCACCCGGACATCGCGCTCCTGAAGACATCTGGCACGCACGCACAGGACATCCAAGCAACACAGTATTAAATAACAGAATACGAGCAGGAGTTCTCGACAAAGATTCGCTACTACCACCCGACGGCAGAGAACTTCAACAGGCACGAGGAACTTGCCTCATCTGCCCCGAAGCCGACTTACCCCATCGACCGTTTTCTTCTCACCACAACCCGAGCGCACCTGCATACGCACCACTCGAGAAAGTATACAGCGACATCCTCTTCAATCGAGAACCAGGACAAGTCACCTACAATTACACAATAACCTTCATCGACGCCGCCACTCGATACGTCTGGCATCGAAACCTACCCAGCCGCGACATGGCACTCGCAGCGTTCGCCGCTTGGCTACCGGTAGCAGAGAGGGAGTCAGGAACACAGCTGAAAAGCTTCCAGTCAGACGGAGGAGGAGAATACACCTCTCAGCGCTTCAAGCAGTACCTGGCGGAAAGGGGAATCAAGCAAATCCTCTCCCTTCCCTACGCCCATCAGCAGCAAGGTGTTGCAGAAAGAATGAACAGGGATCTGCAGAACAGCATGCGCAAACTGCTACGTGGCATGCGGCTACCCAACCACCAGTGGCCTGCAGCAATGGACCATGCTGTCATGCTGCACAACTTGCTGTCGTCGTCGTCACTCCCGAACAACGCATCACCGCATCTGCTGTGGACAGGAAAGCATGGCAGCACAAGAATGTTACGAGTTTTCAGATGCATGGTGCAGTACCGACCCCCAGAAGCACGAGCGGGAAGATTTTCACAACAGGCACAGTGGGGACTACACCTCGGCATCGAGAAAAATTACAACGCGTGGAAAATTTTCGATGTCCACTCAAAGGAAACAGTAGCAGCACGTGATGTGATCTTCTACGAGCGACTCACCCTTCAAACGTACCTCGCCAACTTTCACGCGAATCAGGACCCCACAGGTGGTTTTCATGGTGACCGAGCCTTCGCCTCAGCAGCGGACGAAGCAGACTGGGATGAACAGAATGTCGACAACGCATCGGAAGAAACCGGACCTCTCCCGTACTGCTCCGTCGACGTGCCCATGGACGAAGACAATCCTCGCGATAGTGTCAACGCCGAAGTCTTCTATCACTTCGCCGACAACGGTTACGTAACACCTGCGACAGTCAACACAAACGAAGCAGAACGGATAGGGCCAAATTTCATACCCGATCCAGAAGCGGGAGACGAAGCAGCTTATCCTGAGGATCCAACACTCCCCCGCTACTCACAGATTGGACTGCAAATCCTCGGCCTCGTCACTGCAGTCCACGGCAACGTACTTCCTAAGGAGCCTGCGACGGTTCAGCAGGCTCTAGGGGGGGAACACAGGGAGAAATGGCGCGAAGCCATGGACAGAGAGTTAAAGGCACTGGAGGAACGCAACACTTGGAAGGTCGTTCCCGCAAGCGTGGCAAGGAACAAGACCATTCTCACCGGGAAATGGGTCTTCCGCATCAAAACGAAAGCAGACAGCACAATCGAGAAGTTCAAAGCACGCTGGGTCGTGCGTGGATTTGACCAAGAGCAAGGACGAGACTTCACCGAGACATTCGCCCCAGTTAGTCGACATACCTCTCTTCGAATTCTTCTCGCCGTTGCCGCCATGAAGAAGAAGAAACCGCGACAAATCGATGTCGCCAACGCATTTCTCTACGCACCCGTCGACGCCAAAATCTTCGTCGAACTCCCACACGGTACCCACGGAAACCCCAATCAGGTCTGCCAGCTACTGAAATCGCTCTACGGAACAAACAAGCCCCGCGGCTGTGGTAACAGCACCTACACACCCGACTCACTCGCATCGGATTCCGCCAACTGCCGCACGACCAATGAATGTATCGATTCACTAAAGACGCCGATTACATCCTACTGATCGTCTACGTCGACGACCTACTCTACATCGGCTCCACCGACGACATCACCACCTGGTTCGAAGGGGAGCTGCAGAAGGACCTCACGCTCACGGTTTCTTCTACCGTCACCCAGTACCTCGGGCTCAACATCCGCGAAGAAGAAAATGCTATCTACTTAAGCGCCGAGAAATACGCCGACACTATCGCCAAGCGCTTCTCGCTCACACCTACCGCTATCACCACGCCATACCGCTACACGACAGGAAGTAACAAAGGAAATTCCGCTCCACTCAAAGCTGCCGGAATACGAGACTACCAGAGGAAACTGGGCTGCCTCCTCTTCGCAGCCGTCACCTGCCGCCCGGATCTATCCTACTCCGCAAGCCAACTCGCTACCTACCTCAAGAAACCCGAAGCAGAGCACCTGGCGGAGCTCGATCGCGCACTACACTACTTCGTGAGCACTCCGACGATCGGCCTGACTTACTACAAAAACGAAACTACGACCACGAAACTAATCGGCTACGTCGATGCCGATCATGCCGGCGATTCTAACAATAGGCGCTCTCGCACTGGCTACGTCTATCGTCTCGAGCCTATCGGACCTATCTCATGGCAGTCGAGCAAGCAGGAACTAATCGCTCTCTCTTCAGCTGAAGCAGAATATATCGCCCTCTGCTCAGCCACCAAGGAAGGACTCTACCTTCGCGAGCTGCTGGAAGAAGCAAAGTTAGCCGAGTTACCCAATTTCACCCTATTCTGCGACAACCAATCTGCAATTCGCATCGCCAACAAAAGCGGATTCGCGAACAGAACGAAGCATATCACTCTGCGATACTTCTTCGTGAAAGACGAGATCGAGAAAGGGAAACTCGATTTATCCTATTGTCCCACGTCCGAGATGGCAGCCGATTACTTGACCAAGAAACTCGGAAAACAGAATTTCAAGTACTGCATGCTGCTGACTGGACAAGGCCACCTCACCATTAGCGACACTCCAGAAGCGAAGGGGAGTGTTGGGAACAATAAGTCTTAAAGCGCCTCTGTCGTGTCGAAACTCAGGACACAAGCGAAGCAGTCCAAATCGAAGCATCGCGAGTCAACCCTCGGAGGTTAGGGTAACCGCATGGAGGTTACGCGAAGGTCAAAAGTCAGCGACCTTTGACTTGACAAATACAGCGCGACAGCAAGGACACACAACTGACTCGACATTGAGCAGTTGCCCGAGTCGCACTGTATCGAATCGCAACAGCAAAACAGTTTAAATATATCTATTCGGATTCCTTGTACTCTTATATAAAGGCTTGTATTTGCTTGTTTTAATCAACTCACTTTGCCCTCACATACTAGCGCAAGGTAGTTCAAGGACTTTTTATTCAAACGCTTCCGCTATTACAATCCTACTCAGACTTTAACTCTACAAAGATCCTAGGGCATCTCAGCCAGGGCTAATTTTTGGTTTCCAGCAACCCTTGTGATCAGTGTTGCACAAGTCCAAAAACCTGATTATCAGTGTGACACCTTGTTCAAACCCTGATCCACCAGGGTTTTCCTAGTTTTTGAAAATTATACCCTGTAGGATCAGTGTACCAGTTTTGCAAACCCTGGTGTATTGATACCCGTATTATCGTTGGCAGGCAATAACGAAAATGTATTTCTGGCCAATGGAGGCCCCCCTCGTGCCAGCTCAGAGATGTTGCCTTTGCCAAATATCAGTTTCGACAGTTGGCATGCGAGAACCTCGATACGGGAAAGGGGGGGTGGGTAGAGAGGGGGCTGGGGGTGGGGCGGCTCGGGGAGGGTATGTACTCGATTGAGGGTAAAACTCGTTACGAAGATCGGTAACCCTGGGCCGTCAGCGTACCTCAAACGTAAACCCTGGCCTATCAGGAAAATACAAGCTCCCGAAAAAATTACCCTAAGGCATCAGTGTGACAGCCAAAAACCACCCTGATTATCAGGGTATCAGGGTGATTTACCCTGATAAAATTAGCCCTGATCTCAGCCCAGCATGAATTACAACAGAGTCGATCCAAAACTCCAACACACCCGCATTTGTGCATTACAATGCAGCAGCAGCATCAGTGCGAGCAAACAGCACGGTGCTCCCATCCCCCATCACATGCACCTTCTTCAGCCCCCACGCCGCAAACGTCTCCTCGCACTTCTGCCGCCTCTTCGCCCCGTCCCTCCCCGCCAGCTCAGCGTGGAACCTCACCGCCACCTGGCCAATAGGAACGCTCCCTGGTGTGGGCCCCACAGGGGTCTTCTCGGCCAATGCTGCAGCACCATGTTGCGTCAGATCTCCCACACTCGTGCTGAACGCATCTCCCCCTCCTAACCCCCCTCCCCCTCCTCCTGCTGCTGCTGCTGTTGCGGCATTCTCGCACAGATCGAGCTCGAGCCCGGCAATATCCAGCCGTAGGATGTCGATCCAACGGTGGGAGTGCATGCACATAAACGTGCGCAGGCGGAGCACTGCCGCTTCCCGCGTCTCTTGAGACAAGGAGGAGGTGTCAGCAGCAGCAGAAGATGCAGAGAATGAGGGGGAGGAGGAGGAAGAGGAGGAAGTGGGAATGGGGTGGAAGAGGGCGACCCCGTCTCGAGGCCCGAGGGCAAAGGGGCGGAACTGGGGGGAGCGGCGGGGGGAGAGGCCCTTGATGGGTTGCAGCATGGAGGCAAAGGCGGTGTCGTTGACGAAAGGGTCGAACACAAACACCTGGACGAGGGAGGGGGGACGGGAAACGATTGGATTGTGGCAATGAGAAAGCGGCACTGTTGACGCCTAGACGGAAGAAATACACCTGCAGGAGGGCCCTTGATGGGCTGGAGCAGGGAGGAGAAGGTGGTGTCGTTGACAAAACAAGTACACGACTCCTCTTGGACGCAGGTGGTTATACAATACACACACAACACCCCTTCCCATCTCACACATCCCCTGCCCCGCCCTCTCAGAGGCATTACGTTACGCCTCTGAACATAATGCCTCCTCAGGAGTCTGGGCTCGTTCGTTCGACCCCTACCTCCCTCCCCCCCTTCCGGGGCCCCCATTCCACATACAACCGCCTCACCTGCTGTCCTCTCAAGGTCATTTCGCATTCAAATGTGAAGGTTCAGGCCCACACCAAACGAGTGGGCCCTCTTGGACGCAGGTAATCCAATCACACCACACAATACCCCTTCCCATCTTACACAACCCCTGCCTCACCTGCTGTCCTCTCAAGGTCATTTCGCATTCAAATGTGAAGGTTCGGGCCCACACCAAACGAGTGGGCCCTCTTGGACGCAGGTAATCCAATCACACCACACAATACCCCTCCCCATCTTACACAACCCCTGCCTCACCTGCTGTCCTCTCAAGGTCATTTCACATTCAAATGTGAAGGTTCGGGCCCACACCAAACGAGTGGGCCCTCTTGGACGCAGGTAATCCAATCACACCACACAATACCCCTTCCCATCTTACACAACCCCTGCCTCACCTGCTGTCCTCTCAAGGTCATTTCGCATTCAAATGTGAAGGTTCGGGCCCACACCAAACGAGTGGGCCCTCTTGGACGCAGGTAATCCAATCACACCACACAATACCCCTTCCCATCTTACACAACCCCTGCCTCACCTGCTGTCCTCTCAAGGTCATTTCGCATTCAAATGTGAAGGTTCGGGCCCACACCAAACGAGTGGGCCCTCTTGGACGCAGGTAATCCAATCACACCACACAATACCCCTCCCCATCTTACACAACCCCTGCCTCACCTGCTGTCCTCTCAAGGTCATTTCACATTCAAATGTGAAGGTTCGGGCCCACACCAAACGAGTGGGCCCTCTTGGACGCAGGTAATCCAATCACACCACACAATACCCCTTCCCATCTTACACAACCCCTGCCTCACCTGCTGTCCTCTCAAGGTCATTTCGCATTCAAATGTGAAGGTTCGGGCCCACACCAAACGAGTGGGCCCTCTTGGACGCAGGTAATCCAATCACACCACACAATACCCCTTCCCATCTTACACAACCCCTGCCTCACCTGCTGTCCTCTCAAGGTCATTTCGCATTCAAATGTGAAGGTTCGGGCCCACACCAAACGAGTGGGCCCTCTTGGACGCAGGTAATCCAATCACACCACACAATACCCCTCCCCATCTTACACAACCCCTGCCTCACCTGCTTTCCTCTCAAGGTCATTTCACATTCAAATGTGAAGGTTCGGGCCCACACCAAACGAGTGGGCCCTCTTGGACGCAGGTAATCCAATCACACCACACAATACCCCTTCCCATCTTACACAACCCCTGCCTCACCTGCTGTCCTCTCAAGGTCATTTCGCCTTCAAACAGAAGGTTCAACCTCATTCGTCCTCACATTCCCCGCCCACCCCCTCTTCCACCCCACTCCACCCCACCCCACCTCCTCCCCTCACCTGCTGTCCCCGCAAGGTCATTTCGCCTTCAAACAGAAGGTTCGGGCCCACTCCAAACGAGTACACGACTCCTCTTGGCCTCAGGTGGTCAGAACATACGGGCCACACGATTCCCTCGCCTTTTTCTTTCGCCTGCCCGGGCTGCCCGCCGATGTATTCCAGCTTGCAGGAGGGGAAGCGGCGGCGCAGAAAGAACTCGACGTCCTCTGCTGTTGTGACTCCCTTCTTTTTTTTCTGCCCGGGGTCTGAGAGGAGGTGTCTGGGGGGCAGGTGGAAAGGTGAGAGGAGGTGGAGACACAATTGACATTTGTTTGGTGGGAAATGCGGAGAAGGGGGGAGTGAGGGTGGAAAGCAGGGGGGCGTGAGAGGCAGGGGGAAGTGGCGGAGAAAGGCAGGGGGGTGGGGGGGGGAGGGGGGTGTGAAAGGGGACGGGGAGGCGGAGACAGGGCCAAATGTCAGAGCATTGTTTTGAATGTACCAGGAAATAGCGTATTGAGACGACTTGGAAGGCGAATGGCATAGCGACAAGTCAAGAATCCATACACATGGAGAACGGGTGGAAGGGAAGGGAGTGAGAGCAGCGTACATTTCCCACCCTCCCCACCTTCCACTCCCTCCCCACCCTCCCCACCCTTCCCATCCTCCCCACCTTTCCCCATCCTCCCCATCCTCCCCACCCTTCCCCACCTTCCCCGCGACCCCATCGCATCGCTCCGCTCTGATCCACCGTCGCTCCTCCCCGCCTCCCCGTTCGGAGGACCTTCCAATCCCAGTTTCGCCTGCTCCGCCGCGGAAACGGGCTCGGCGCGCTCCGACCATTCGCGCTCCTGATGCTGCTGTTGCTGCGGCTGCTGCTGCTGCTGCTGTTGGTGCTGCTGGTAACCGTCGGATGCGGAGAAAATGGACGGCGGATACACGACTAGCGTGCGGAGCGAGTAGGCCTGCACGGTGACGAAGAGAACGAGCAGCACGTGCCACGGGAGGATCGCTGGGATCGCACTATCTAATTTCGCCGGGATCGCAAGATCTAATTTCGCCGGCTGGTTACCCGCTGCGCCTCGGTGATCCGTTTTCGTCGGCCCATGATTCCTGAACGAATGCATGGTCAAAGAGTGAGATTAAGAGGAACGAATCTCACTATCTCATTGGCTGCCTTGCGAAGTCTTTAGTATCTAAATATTTGCTGGTCTGTTTGTCGTGGCCTGTACTCGTAATGATAGCGGAGTTAATGTGGGACGTGGTCAATGAGGGCTTCTGGAAACCCCACGTCACTAGAAATACTACGTCCAGCTAAGGGCGTGTCTCTTTTTTTCCCTCGACGGTTCGAACCGTGGACGGTCCGAACTGCGAAAAAATTACCGGTTTCGCAGAGTTCGTAATTGATTTCGTGATAGTACTTGCGAAGTCGCCAACGGTACGAGCTGTCGCGTCACTTTTCCCTCCTCCCAACGGTTCAGAATTTGAACCTTCCGCAGCTCGAAAAGCAAACGGACGGTGCAGCAGTACTGACTAAATATTGGCTCGCGAGTTTTTTTTTCCTACACGGAATCGATTGGCGCACAATTTTGCGGAGAAAATGTCGCGACCTGTGTAACGACGATACAGTGCCCATTACGAAGCTACAGTACTTCGTGAGTTCATGGTCCATGAAAAAGTGACAGAATTGCATCTGGACGGGGGAAAGTTCCGAAATGGCAATTCGGACAGTCGGCTCCTCGCTATTTGGACCGTCCAGTACCAAAAAAGAGAACCGTCCGGAAAATGCAGAAAATATAAAAAGAGACACGCCCTAAGGGCCGTGATGTTGGAGTTCTGAAGTGGTTTAGAACTTGTGACGACAGATTTTAAAATTGAATATATTTTGTAATGCCTCATCGCTTTGAACCGCTACTCACCTGAGTTGAAACTATCGATACACCAGCAAACGCTGCCTTCCGAACCACCCGCCACCAACTTCCAACCTATTACCACGCTGTAGAAGTTTCCAGTTTCAGTTAGAGGCCGTTAACATAAACAGACATGTACTACAGTTAACTTGCTATAGCGGTGCTACTGTATCATCATTTGGTCATAAACATTTTGTTTCTCAAGCTTTCAATCGGCCATGATTTGTTACATACATTCTTGCAGTTTCTTCGAAAAAACCACAAATAATTTCATGATTTTTTGAACGTATATCATACATGCAGTACAGTACTTGCAGGAAAACATGCGATCGGAGGCAGACAAACTGTTTGAACTCCGAGCGAGAGAGAAGAGAAGAGGCATATACACACATGATGAAAACATCCTGCAATCCCACCTTCCGAGCGGCAAGGATACACCGATACCTAGCAGCACGCTCTAGCACAGTGACATCCCCCAGTCCACCACAATAGAAGGGGTAGTAGACAGATGCTGGATGGGAGATGCGGTGGCATGGCAGATCAAGCTGCAGTGGCTGTGGCAAGTGCAGGAGCTGAGCAGAGTCCAAGCGTGGTAGACAGGTGCTCGACAGGAGACGACAAGGCAGATCAAGCTGCAGTGGCTGTGGCAAGTGCAGGAGCTGAGCAGAGTCCAAGCGTGGTAGACAGGTGCTCGACAGGAGACGACAAGGCAGATCAAGCTGCAGTGGCTGTGGCAAGTGCAGGAGCTGAGCAGAGTCCAAGCGTGGTAGACAGGTGCTCGACAGGAGACGACAAGGCAGATCAAGCTGCAGTGGCTGTGGCAAGTGCAGGAGCTGAGAAGAGTCCAAGCGTGGTAGACAGGTGCTCGACAGGAGACGACAAGGCAGATCAAGCTGCAGTGGCTGTGGCAAGAGCAGGAGCTGCATCCGATTCCTCATCACTTCCACCTCCCCCAGATGAGCCTCCCTTGCTTCCTCCCCCTTGGCCCTCCTCTCCCTTCCCTCCCGCCTTCTCTCCTCCCCCCTCGTTATCCTGCAACCACCGCTCCCACGAGCCCTCCCCTTGCAGTATGTGGGCCCCACACCCCGGTACCCCGTCCTCGCCCTCCTCCCCCTCGTGCCCCACCGATGCCTCGTCCAGCACCACTGCTTCCACCAGAGAGCTGGGGACCTGGTGGGGATGGCAGGGATGGCAGGGACGGGAAGATCAGGCTTGGAAGAGCAGGGATAGGAGGGATGGATGGATGATGGCAGAGTGCAGGTTACCCCGTCGCCCCCCTCCTCCCCCTCGTGCCCCACCGATGCCTTGTCCAACACAACTGCCTTCACTAGACTGCTGGGGACCTGGTGGGTTGGGGCATGAGATGACGGATGGGCGTGGAATGAGGGCAATGATCAAGGACACAGTTGCACACCGGCTTGCCCTCTTCCCCTTCCTCCCCCTCGTGCCCCACCGATGCCTCGTCCAGCACCACTGCTTCCACCAGATTGCTGGGGACCTGGGGAGTTGGGGTGGGAAGGACGGAATGGAGGGATGGATGGAGGGAAGCAGCGAGCAGGTTAACCCCACCTCCCCTCCGAGCAGGTTAACCCCACCTCCCCTCCGAGCCCCCACTGATACCTCATCCAACAACATTGCCTTCACAACAATACCAAGGTCCACTGGCGATCACAGTACCTCATACACAGCCTTGGTAACTGCCGTACGTACCTCAAGCAGTGCCTCGGTAACTGCTGTACGTACCTCATACACAGCCTTAGTAACCGCCGTACCTTTTGTTAGCCTGTTACACCGTACCCCGTACATAGGCCTGGTGAGTACCGTATCTATTACATTGTACCTCATACAGAGGCTCAGTAACCGCCATACCTCATACATAGCCTCGGTAATCATCATACCTCATACACAGCCTCGGCAGCCACCATACCTCGTACATAGCCTCGGCAGTCGCCATACCTCGTACATAGCCTCGGCAGTCGCCATACCTCGTACATAGCCTCGGTGAGCAGCCCCTCCAGCAGCGATCGCAGCCCCCTGGCCCCCGTGTTTCGCGCTGCTGCTCTGCGCGCTATGGCCCTCACTGCCCCCTCCGTCATGTGCAAGCGGGCCTGAGTGGGTGGAGTGGAAGGGAGGGCAGGAAGAGATGAGATGGAGATGGCACGAGGTCATGGAAAAGGGCAAGAATGGGTGCTGTACTCCACGCAATGGCCCTCACTGCCTCCTCTGTCATGTGCAGACGGGCCTCAGTAAGAGGGGAGGGGAGGATTGGGAGAGCATGAGGACAAGGAAGAAGGCAACACTGAGTGCTATTCTGCATCCTGTAGCTTTGCAAATTGCACTTGCTTGCTAACCGAGAACTGTCTGGATTTCTTATTTATACAATAGAAAACACAATGCTCGTGACCCACAACCAGCAGCCCACACTGCACTCACGTTGTTCATGGCCAATAGCTTGGCGAATTGCTTGCTGAGGGCGTTCTTGGGCTTTAAGAGAACCTGCAAGTGAGAGCCACACCGAGAGGAGAGAACGAGTACGGAGAAGGAGCAGGAGGGTGGGGAGAGGGATAAGAATCGGGTAGTGTTTCAGGGGTTACAACCCGCGGGCCAAGAACTTCAACCTTAGGAAGCTTGGTTGGAGCGAGCAACACAATTGGCCAAGATTTTGGGTGCGAGGGCCAAACTCAACCAAGGTTAGGAAGGTTGAGGCAATTTGGGCCTTCTTGGCCCTCCGGTTTTAAGAACGTAAATTTTCTGGGCAGGGATTAGGAAAAGAAGATGGACCAAAATACGTGTCGAATCGTGCAAGGAAAGCCACTCAGCTCTGTATATAGACATAATTCGAAGTGCATAAGAAAGGTCCTTTGCTTCCACCTGCACCAGTTGCCACCTGCACCAGTTGCCACCTGCACTACACCTACCTGCACATGTTGCTCTTTTGTGAAAGCACGCAGCCCCATGAGCACCAGCTGTTGTTACCAAAGCCTACACACACCAGTCATTACCCGCACCAGTCATTACCCGCACCAGTCATTACCCGCACCAGTCATTACCCGCACCAGTCATTACCTGCACCAGTCATTACCAGCACCAGTCATTACCTGCACCAGTCATTACCTGCACCAGTCACTACCTGCACCAGTCATTACCAGCACCAGTCACTACCTGCACCAGTCATTACCTGCACCAGTCATTACCTGCACCAGTCATTACCTGCACCAGTCATTACCTGCACCAGTCACTACCTGCACCAGTCATTACCTGCACCAGTCATTACCTGCACCAGTCATTACCTGCACCAGTCATTACCTGCACCAGTCATTACCTGCACCAGTCATTACCTGCACCAGTCACTACCTGCACCAGTCATTACCTGCACCAGTCATTACCTGCACCAGTCATTACCTGCACCAGTCACTACCTGCACCAGTCATTACCTGCACAAGTCACTACCTGCATCAGTCATTACCTGCACCAGTCATTACCTGCACAAGTCACTACCTGCATCAGTCATTACCTGCACGAGTTGCTCCTCTGTGAGCGCATGCAGCCCCACCAGCACGGGGAATCGCCCCACAAACTCAGGGATGAGCCCATAGGCTATCAGATCCGTGCTCTCTGCCTGCCGTTCCAGAGGGGTAGGGAGGGGTGGGGACGGGTGGGGAGGGATGTTGAACGATGGGGAGGGAGGATCTGGAGGGGTATAACAATAACACAAGGAATCGCCCCACAAACTCGGGGACGAGCCTGTAGGCTACCCGATCTGTGCTCTCTGAGTGCAGTTGATGAGCAAAAAAAGACGGGGGGGGGGGGGGGGGGGGGGGGGGGGAGATACGGGAATTGCGGGTAGAGAGACAACTTTTGAGGCGCCTCAAAAGTGCTCTCTGCGAGCCGTTGATACAAAAAAAGGGGGAAAGGGGGTTTGCGGGGCGGCGGGGAAAGGATGGTTGAAGGAAGAGCACGCATCAACTGCAGCAGGTGGCTTATAGGACAGTGAAAAGCAGCTCTCAAAAGCAGCACGCCCACAAGCACACACAGCAAGTGTTGCAAGCATGGATCGCTGGCACACGCGCTAAAACAATGACAAAACAAAAAAAACAAAACAAAACCCAACCAAACAATCAAACCAACAGACAAATCAACCAAAAAAACAAACAAACAAACCAACGGTATAGAGTTAGCACTCACCGATTGCAGCAGCGAGCCGGCAGTGCGGGCGTCAAGCACCGATCGGTTGCGCAGCGATGCGCGCACGGGGGCCCCGAAGCCGATGGATGACTTGTGCTTCCTGCACGCAGCAAGGTAATATTGGGATTTGAGTCATGGAATGCAGTCAGTCTCATGTCTGCTTGCAATGATTGCAGCAATGTCACACGGGGGCCCCGAAGCCGATTGATGACTTGCGCTTCCTGCAACAAATGAATGGTAATAGAGAGAGTCAAGACATGCAGTCAAGACAACATTGTATGTGCTTGCAGTGCTTGCAGAGTTGCGCGCTTAGGAGCTCTGAGGGCTAGCATAGCACAGCCAACGAAAGGCAGGAGATACATTCCTAACATTGACTGCAGACAATCAGACCGATTCAAACCGCAGTCAATGTTAGAGTCAAACTGCAGACAATTATTGAAAGTCGTTTCTAACATGTGGGTGGGTCATCAGAGTAGGCAAAGTAGTTAAGATGGGACTGCATTCCTGACATTGCCTGCATACACAGTTGTAGCACACACTGCTGCGGCGAAGACAATCGCACTGAAAGGCGAGAAACGGTGGCTTCATTTTCCCTGCCCCAAAACCATGGTTGCGCACCTTCAGTGCGATTGTCTTTTCTTCGATTTTTTTTTTTAGGTCATAACTGACGACAGCAGACGTATCAGTGAGTGCATTTCGAGTCAGCAAATTTTGAAGGAATTCTCAAAAACCTGACAATAGCAGACGTATCAGTGAGTGCATTTTGAGTCAGCAAATGTTTTGAGAAATCTCAAAAACCTGACGATAGCAGACGTATCAGTGAGTGCATTTTGAGTCAGCAAAAGCAGCCTCCGCCTCACCTCTCTGCAATCGTCTTTTCCAGATCCACGAATGCCCCTCCACAGATGAAGAGAATGTTCTGTGTGTCCAGCTGGCGGGGTGGGATAAGGGGAAGCATTGGGGTGGATGGGGCATCGGGCATGTGGCTTGGGGCGTGGGGGTGGGAATAGCAGGCAGCGGCAGTGGAGGGCAGATGAAGAGAATGTTCTGTGTGTCCAGCTGGTGGGTTGGGAGGGGAAAGGCAAAGTCAAGTATGGGAAAGGGGGTATTGGGCTGGGAATGGCTGGCACGGCAAGCAACAGAGGTGAGGGTTGATGAAGAGTATGTCTTGTGTGTCAACCTGGTGGGATGGGTGGGGCAAAGAAAGGGGAGGTATGCGGGAGGGGAATGGCAGGCAGTAAGCATGAACGGAGACAACTCCTGACGCGCCTCAAAAGTTGGAATAAGAGGTGGTAGACATACTCTTCATCGACCCTCACCTCTGTTGAGGTAAATTCCAAGGGGATGAAGGTCGCTAGCCATGCTAACAAACACACTCCGGCTTGGAATGCGCCTCAAACGTATCTAGCCATTGAGCAGAAACCCTTTCCGCTCTGTGTGATATTCGTTGTGATTTCCAGGCATTCGGCACAGAAACACCCGGTATCGTTGTTCTACCCCCGTACCCCTGCACCCCTGCAACCCTCGCACTCCGTGTTTGAAGAAGTGTTTTGAGACGTCTCAAAACAGAAACACCCGGTATCGTTGTTCTACCCCCGTACCCCTGCACCCCTGCAACCCTCGCACTCCGTGTTTGAAGAAGTGTTTTGAGACGTCTCAAAACAGAAACACCCGGTATCGTTGTTCTACCCCCGTACCCCTGCACCCCTGCAACCCTCGCACTCCGTGTTTGAAGAAGTGTTTTGAGACGTCTCAAAACAGAAACACCCGGTATCGTTGTTCTACCCCCGTACCCCTGCACCCCTGCAACCCTCGCACTCCCGCACCCCTGTAGCCCGTACCTGTATGAACTCGCCTCTTGGATTCTTCCTCCCTGTTTTCTCTGGCACATTGATCACCTGCACCCGGGAGAAGAGGGGAGGAGCAGGGGGAAGACCGGCACGTGAGACTTACAAGGCGCCCTAAATCTCTGAAGGACTTCCTCCCTGTTTTCTCTGGCACATCAATCACCTGCACCCAGGGCCCAGGGGGAGTGAGAAGATCCGCTCCGCACCAGTAGGTAGAGGGACACACACGTGTGACAAACGGGCTCATGGATGCTCACACCACCCTCACAGCGCCCCTCAGCATCCTCAACAACGGCGGCCGCACGCCCTCCCCTGCCACATCTCAAACGCCAATAGACCTGTGTCTCTCATCCCACCGTCCTTCAAACCAGCTCACATCATATCCCCTTACAGCCCACCCCTTCCCCCCACTCACAGCGCCCTCGAGCATTCTCAACAGCGCCTGCTGCACGCCCTCCCCTGACACGTCCCTCCCATCCCGCCTCCTCCAACCTCCTCACATACTCCCATACCCTCCCTCCCCCCCCCTCTTCTTTACTCACAGCGCCCTCAAGCATCCTCAAAAGCGCCTGCTGCACGCCCTCCCCTGACACGTCCCGTGTGCTCGTGATGCCCTCTGCCTGTGCAGTCATACAGGGCGCGGAGATGAGAGAGGGGGGAGAGAGGAATCAGTAAGACACTTATTGGATAAGACACTCCAACACGCCTTTCCCTGACACGTCCCGTGTGCTCGTGATGCCCTCTGCCTGTCCAGGCACGCACAGAGGGGAGAGCGGGGGCTGTCCAGATTAAGCTCATGTTTTTAGTGCGCGTGTCAATCTCATCTATGTTTACAATGCCCTTCTGCGCTGCTGCTCTGGTGGGGTGGGGAGCACCTACTTAGCGCCAGTGCCGCTAGTGCCCCTAGTGCTGCTAGCAAGCCTACCTTCTTGGTAAGCTTGTCGATCTCGTCGATATACACGATCCCTGCTGCGCTGCTGCTTTAGTGGGGGGGGGTTGCATCTCCTAGTGCCCGTGCAGCTAGTGCCGCTAGTGCTGCTAGCGAGCCCACCTTCTTGGTAAGCTTGTCGATCTCGTCGATATACACGATGCCCTGCTGCGCTGCTGACACACTGAAATTGGCGCTCTGCGTAAGACAAATGGACAGTCACGCACACACACACACCACCATGGGAATCACACACAGAACAGATAGTCATGAACATGCAAGCATGCACATCAGGAGCAAAATGAATGTAACTTGTAAGGAGCAGTTGAGCTACGTGAAGCCACCCGGGGTTGGGACCCGGGTGCAGCAACCCCTACCCTCACCTCCACTTGTAGGTGCAGCAACTTGTAAAATATCATCTCCGCGTCCTCTGCACGACAAGCTAACACCTCTACTGACCCGTCTCACCTCTTCCAAACCCCCTCACCTGCAGCAGCTTATAGAGAATCATCTCCACGTCCTCTCCCACATACCCCGCCTGCACGAGGAGCAGAAACACTAACATAACATAACCCCCCCACCCCCCACTCCCTGTCCCAACCCCAACAACCCCTTCTGTCCCTCACCTGCAGCAGCTTATAGAGAATCATCTCCACGTCCTCTCCCACATAACCAGCCTGCACGACAAACAGCACCAGAGAATGAGAAATAGGTGAGCGTTGGCTCAGGAAACACAGTTCTAGTAGAAAGCCCGTTGTCCTGCATGCCACTGTAACGAAGTGACCTTTGAGGCGAATCACGAGTCATCGTGTGGGAATTGGCTCAAGAGCAACGGTGATAGTAATAATATGCCCCTTGTCACGCACTCCCTAAGTGGCATACCATGACACGGGAGAGTTAACCCTACTGGTTAACCATACTGGTGAACTCTCCCGTGTGAAAGAGTGTGGAAACCAGGCTGTATCCAACCTGAGAATCAGAGAGACGCAGCTGAGTGTGGAAGTTGATGAGAGTGGCGGTATGAGACGCAGCTGGGTGTGGAAGTTGATGAGAGTGGCGGTATGAGACGCAGCTGGGTGTGGAAGTTGATGAGAGTGGCGGTATGAGACGCAGCTGGGTGTGGAAGTTGATGAGAGTGGCGGTATGAGACGCAGCTGGGTGTGGAAGTTGATGAGAGTGGCGGTATGAGACGCAGCTGGGTGTGGAAGTTGATGAGAGTGGCGGTATGAGACGCAGCTGGGTGTGGAAGTTGATGAGAGTGGCGGTATGAGACGCAGCTGGGTGTGGAAGTTGATGAGAGTGGCGGTATGAGACGCAGCTGGGTGTGGAAGTTGATGAGAGTGGCGGTATGAGACGCAGCTGGGTGTGGAAGTTGATGAGAGTGGCGGTATGAGACGCAGCTGGGTGTGGAAGTTGATGAGAGTGGCGGTATGAGACGCAGCTGGGTGTGGAAGTTGATGAGAGTGGCGGTATGAGACGCAGCTGGGTGAGAGTGGCCTTTGAGTCAATTAAGAGTCACCTCGTTAAAGGCGCACCTGAGTGAGAGTGGTGGCATCAGCAATGGCGAATGGCACGTTGACAAACCGAGCCAGAGTCTTGGCCAGTAGGGTCTTGCCTGCACGCGTTGGGGGGGGGGAGGGGATAGTCACCCACCAGTGTGTGGGGGGAGGGGACTTTTTTGAGTCGACTCAAAAATCAGCAATGGCGAATGGCACGTTGACAAACCGAGCCAGAGTCTTGGCCAGTAGGGTCTTGCCTGCACGCGTTGGGGGGGGGGAGGGGATAGTCACCCACCAGTGTGTGGGGGGAGGGGACTTTTTTGAGTCGACTCAAAAATCAGCAATGGCGAATGGCACGTTGACAAACCGCGCCAGAGTCTTGGCCAGTAGGGTCTTGCCTGCATGCACTGCACCCAAGGGACAGCAGCGGTTGAAATACCGCCCGCAAAGAATAAGGTAGGGAGTGGCCTGGGATGTTGACCACATTGCCATCACAGGCCGGACAGGCGCGGAGCGGGTAGGGAGTGGGCGGATGGAGTGGAGCCGATAAGGTGAGTTGACAGGTGGGGAGTGGGATAAGTTGAGTGGAGAGAGACACACGCGTGAGCGAGATGAGAAGCACGTTGCTCATGAGACCGCTGGGCGACAGGAAGGCAAGAACGCATACACGCATTCATGAGCCTGTTAAAATCTTCCCTCCAATAAACCCTCTGGGCAGCCCTTGCTTGACAGGCGATAGTACCTGAACAGCTGTATGCGAGCGACATGATCGGGGCCCGTGCGAGGGACCCATGTGTCAGTCAGTCGGGCCCATCGAGTTTTGAGACGACACGACGCCTGAACCCGTCCAAACACCTACTGCTTCCGATGGGCTGCATCCAACCACCCACCCACCAGAGCCTGTGGGTCCCTCCCATGAGCACCACGTTGCTCTTCCCCACCTGCACCTCGTCCCATGCTTGCCCTACCCTATGCTATTCCGCTGCTCCCATGCGGCCCTGCCCCCCGTATGCTGCAGTGGTGATTCTTGCACCCACCTGAACCCGTGGGACCCATCAGCAGCACGTTGCTCTTCTCCACCTCCACCTCGTCCTCCTCACCGCCCCCCACCAGGTTCTCGCACGCCCTGCAGGGGGGAAGAGAGGTGGAAGAGAGGGCGACGGGGGGCATAGGGAGAGGGTAGGGAGTGAGGGGCACGTTGCTCTTATCCACCATGGGGGTGAGCAAGAACAGAAGTGAGTGAGTGAGGGAGGGCGGACAGTGGGCAAAATGTGGAGCAAGCCTAATCTCTTTCCCCCATGTGAGGTGTAGAAAAGGGGATCGTTCAGGTAGATGACCGGTCACTCCCTCTCCCTCTCCCTCTTAATCCTTGCTTGAATCACTTTAAAGAACATTTCCTCTCCCTCTCCATCCCTCACCACACACAGCACACAGCCCCTCTCCCACTTCCTCTCCTCCCCCTCTCACCCCTCTGAACCTCCTCTCGCCTTTTTTTTACCCCTTCTCACCCCTCTGGCAGGTTGGCAAGTCTTTCCCGCTTCTGGTTTTCAAGAAAGATGCGCTTGTAGTGATTGTAAACTGCCACTGCCAAAACCTGCAGCAAAGGGTAGCATACGGGGATCGGAAAGGGCTCGTAACGAAATGAGCTTATAGAGAAGATGCGCTCGTAGTGGGTACACCACCGCCACTGCAAACATTCGGTTACAAATAAAATCAAAAGAAGAAGAAAAAATACTGCTCTTAGCGAGTCTGTGACTGTAAACCTGTTACACCACCAGCCTAACAGTAACTGCCACGTCACCAGCACCCGCTCACCTTTTTCGCATTATCCTGCCCGATCACAAATTCATCCAGAGCTGCCCGGATCTGCTTGGGCGTGGGCAGATTCTCCCCAGATTCGCCCCTCCCCAGTTGTGCTCTGTCCCGTCCTCCCCTCCCCCTGCCGCCCCAAAACACGGCACATGCCCCTCCCTCCCCTCTCGCCCTTCCCGCCCTTCCCGCCCCTCCCTCCCCTCCCCTCCCCCGCTCTGCTGCCCCCTCCCCCGCTTCTCCCCCGCACCCGCGCCAGGCGCGGGGGGGATCTGCGTGGGCGCGGCCAGGGGGGACGGGGGCGGAGGCGGGGCGGGGGGGCCTCTGGGGGCGTGCAGGAGGGGGGAGGAGAAGCTAGGGGGATACGCGCTGGCGCTGCTTCCGCCACCGCCAGGGCTTCTATTCCTTCCGCTGCTGCCCACCTGCTGCCCCTCACTCCGCCCCTGCCCCTGCCTTTGCGCTTTCTTTTCTCCCCCCGCGCCTGCCTGTCCCTGCCCCTGCTGCCCCTGTCCCTGCGCCCACGGGTGCCCCCCCCACCCCTGCAAACTCGCCTTGAACCGATTCACATACTCCTCCCGCGCATCCCTCCGCGCGCTCCCCCCTTCCCCCCCGCTCGCCCCGCCCATCATCCCGTCCAGCTCGCTGCGCGCAGACCTGCCGCCCGGGCGGCCGTCTTGGCGGCTAAGTTGCCGCCCAAAGCGGGACCACTGCCACGCGTCAGAGGCGGGGGGCTCGGGGGGAGTGACGGCGGAAAGGGGGGAGACATGTTTCCAGTCCGCTTCATACCAGTCCGCCTCCACAAACTACCCCACTCTCGCGCCCCCCCCCCCGGCCTTGCCCTTCCCCAATCCTTCCCCCTTCCCCCCGCTTGCGCACTGCCCTTCCGCCGTCACCTGCGGCTGCCCCTCTTCTTTCCCCTTCCGCCCATTCTCCGCCTCCCCTGTCCCTCTCGCCACCGGCCTGTCGGTGAATCGCTGGCATTGGCGGCAGAACAGCACCGCGCGCCCGCTCGTGCGCGCCTCCGCCGCGGACATGGGCGGAGATAGCGCGGACGCGGACGGGGAGGAGGGGGAATGGGGGAAGGCAAGCGCGGGGAAAGAGAGGAGCGAGAGGGGCGCGCGGCAGTTGGGGCACAGCAGCTCCTCGTCCCCGCGCCCGCTCCCCCCTCCGCCTCCGTCACCCGCTCCCGCCGCTCCGCCACCCCCGGCAACCACACCGTCGCTTCCGCCTCCCCGCACACCAGCCCCGCCCTCCCCCCCATCCCCGCCCGCTCTCTCCGCCGTCGCCGCTATTTAGATATATTAGATCAGCGAGAGCGAGCTAACGAGCGACACTTTAGGTATATTAGATCAGCGACAGCGAGGAAACGCCACATGAGCGCGTATATCAGTCCAAACGGGCAAATAAGGGCTGCGACTACTACTGCTCGCTGCTACTGCTAGTACTAGGGCGCCTTGTTTTCGGAAACCTAAATTTCCAACTCATGGAAACAAACCTAACAGCGCGACACAAAATACTCGATAGGAAACGCTGGCGTTTAAGTTACGCGAATGAACCAATAATAGTAGCGACTGAGTCGACGCGAAGTGCCACAAGTACTACTAGTACCTGCTATACTACTACTAATTCTGCTAGCGACTAGTGCAATTATACTACTGCTACCGTACTAACAATGATGGGCTATGGAGGGTGGGTGGGTGGTGGTATAAGGCTGAAGTGAGAGGGTGGATCACTGTAGTGAACGAAGGAATCGGATCTTGGCAGGCAGCGTTGGCTTGCTCCCTTTGTTCTGTGAACCGATATTTTCCACACGGTTGAAAACTGTGTAACCGTTTTCGACCGTTTCAGCCAAGCGCGCTGAATGGAATGGCTCAGCCGACGGGACACGTGGACTGCGCCTGGGGTTGAACTGCCCATTGCCCAACTGTACCAAGCACAGCCCTCTGTGAAGCTCGCACGAACCATCCAGTCTGCGCAGAACAGACAGGACGGGCTCGATCAGGTTTTGGCGTTTCTCGTCGACGAGCACTGCGGCAGTACAGTGCGAGTACGGCTGGGTGGGTGAGGTCACAAATGAGGCGAGAAATAATACACTCACGATTTGCGAATCTGCTTTGTCGACCTACCGGGTGGAAATCACTACCGGGTTAAACAAATAGCTTCAGTTTTCGGGCGTCATCTCAGTCAAAAGGCAAGCAGAGTGGCGAAACAAAATTTGTTTTAGCAAAACACCGATCGTGCTTTGCAGAGTGGCCAAGGGACTGGTGCGAAATACATACACCCTACATTACGAGTTTACTGGTGCTACTAGTGCTACTACGACGAGCTGGCGAGGGGTGGTGCTAGGTGGCGCAATGAAGGTGATGTGAGCGGGTGCTTTGGTGGAAGTGTTGTGGTGAATCTGGGGTCAAGTTCGGGGAGTGTTTCATTGCAGACGTGGTTTGTGAAACCCGAGTTCTTATCTCTCAGTTGAGAACGGTCAAACTGTTTCAAAAATGTTTAGCCTAGCGGAGTGAATCGATACGCGACAAATGCTTCAAGCGGGAGAATGTACCGCGCCCTACGGAGTGTTCACCTGTTTGTGCAGAGTCGAGCTTCAAGCTCAAACAGTTCCTAGCCGTCATGTACAGTGAAGAAACAAGCAGGGTAGGAGGGGTTGGGCTGGGTGGCGGACACTCGCTACAGTTCGGGCACACCTGCATTGCCCAGCAGTCGTAAGCGCCTACGCTGGCAACCCACCCCAAGCGCAAAAACCCATGCCCATTCGTTTTGTTTTTGAACCTGCTGCTGAGCTTGAGGCTCGCCTTCCGCCCAGAGAACGAAAAGGCTTGAGGGTGGAGTTGGGAAGGGGCCAAATCTCGTGCTTAAAAATGCAAGGAGTGGCGAAAAAAAACCCTGGGATGCAAAACACCAGACGGTGCTGTGACGGCATATATTTACATCCAAGCCGTCTACAGTACAAACCAAAGGCTGGTTCCGCACAGAAACCAAAGGCTGGGCGAGCACCAGGTGGGTTGATCAAACGTCACTATTTGCTGGCATGGCAACGCACCGACACGAAAATCGATATTCAGGGGTTTCGGTACGTTACACAGCGGTTTAGGGAAAATGTTTGAGCAAAAAGAATGGTATCCAAAGGTCCCCACCACACTCCCCCATTCGTGGAATGCTGGAGCAAGACTTCAGCAGGCCAATGCGGATTTCACTGCTGAATACAGACCAAAATTTTCAACGGCCTGGATCGTGCCACATCATTTTCACACACCCTCACCTTCCCAAGTGTACAGAGTGAACTGTATCCCTCCCACCACTCGCACCCCTGCTGATTTGCGAGCACGGGTGGTCGTCTGCTGCAATCTGACGGTTCACGATTCGCGAGCTTCAGAAGGGATTACGAGATTCAGGGCGCGGTACATGTGTCTGTCTACAGAAAATTTCACGATTAACACAGTGCGCGCGCCTAAAACACTTGGAAAAATGTTTTACCGTTCTGAACCGTGTGCACCGAGTCAGGGTTTCAGAAACAAAAGAGGGAGCAAACGCTGCCTCAGATCCATCCACACTTATCCTTTCCGCTGAGGAGCCGACCCCCTCCCCCACATCAGCTTTATCGCACCACCGTCGCTAGTAGCAGTAGCACTTCGTCGTATTAGCTAGTAGTAGATAATAGTATCATTCAAAGCCCGCTTTCTCGTTCTCTGAAAAGGCACCGACTTCCGCTAATCACACTCATCACACACCGTCGACAGCGGTAGTAGCACCAGTATTAGTAAGTAGTAGTCGTACAAATCTTGCGTTAATAATGAACGTGATCCTATGCATGCGAAATGGTTACGACAGCCACCGCCAGACGACGGCCTGGGCTTAGCGGCGTGGTTTAAATCCTCGTTCGACGGGAGCCTTTCGCGGTCGTTTAAATTACCGCCATTAGTTTCAAACTAGGTGAAATGTCATGCGTGCCGTTCTTGTCGGGCTCAGCGGAGCAGGCGGCAAGCGAGGCTGCCAAGAAGCGCGCGCGCTGAGAAAATCACGCCTCTCGTTCGTCACCGCGGCCCGTCCTCTCGCGTTGCTACGTTGCTACTGCCGCTGCTTGTTCAAAACGACTTAGGATTGGAGAGCATGGCAGAAATCACCAGCTTCTCATGCTTCATCATGCGAGTGCTGGACTGGCTGGTGGCCATCATGATGGCATGGCAGCAAAGCACCAGGCTATGGGTATCTGTGTGGATGCAGCGTCAACTAAGACTGAAAAGCACCACCCAATGTGTTTCGGCCTTTACCTTCCCTTGCTCCTGGGCTCGCAACCGCTGCCCACTCCTCACTTCCCTTGCTCCCTCCCGTCACGGGGTCCACTCACCCCTCGCTATCCAAACCTTTCCCCTCTCTCCCTTCCCTATGCAGTTTGGTCATGTTAAAACACACCCTTCTGCTGCTGTTGCTTCTGTTGGGGCTGTTTGCTGCTGTTGCTTCTGGTCGGTCCGTCACTGCTTGCTTGCTACTACTGCTGCCGTCACTGCTTGCTTGCTACTACTGCTGCCATCACTGCTTGCTTTCTATTGCTGCTGCCATCACTGCTTGCTTTCTACTGTGCTGCCATCACTGCTTGCTTGCTACTACTGCTGCCATCACTGCTTGCTTTCTACTGTGCTGCCATCACTGCTTGCTTGCTACTGCTGCTGCCATCACTGCTTGCTTGCTACTGCTGCTGCCATCACTGCTTGCTTTCTACTGCTGCTGCCATCACTGCTTGCTTTCTACTGCTGCTGCCATCACTGCTTGCTTGCTACTGCTGCTGCCATCACTGCTTGCTTGCTACTGCTGCTGCCATCACTGCTTGCTTGCTACTGCTGCTGCCGTCACTGCTTGCTTTCTACTGCTGCTGCCATCACTGCTTGTTTGCTACTGCTGCTGCCATCACTGCTTGCTTGCTACTGCTGCTGCCATCACTGCTTGCTTGCTACTGCTGCTGCCATCACTGCTTGTTTGCTACTGCTGCTGCCATCACTGCTTGCTTTCTACTGCTGCTGCCATCACTGCTTGCTTTCTACTGCTGCTGCCATCACTGCTTGCTTTCTACTGCTGCTGCCGTCACTGCTTGCTTGCTACTGCTGCTGCCTTCACTGCTTGTTTGCTACTGCTGCTGCCGTCACTGCTTGCTTGCTACTGCTGCTGCCTTCACTGCTTGCTTGCTACTGCTGCTGCCATCACTGCTTGCTTGCTACTGCTGCTGCCATCACTGCTTGCTTGCTACTGCTGCTGCCATCACTGCTTGCTTGCTACTGCTGCTGCCATCACTGCTTGCTTGCTACTGCTGCTGCCATCACTGCTTGCTTGCTACTGCTGCTGCCATCACTGCTTGCTTGCTACTGCTGCTGCCATCACTGCTTGCTTGCTACTGCTGCTGCCATCACTGCTTGCTTGCTACTGCTGCTGCCATCACTGCTTGCTTGCTACTGCTGCTGCCATCACTGCTTGCTTGCTACTGCTGCTGCCATCACTGCTTGCTTGCTACTGCTGCTGCCATCACTGCTTGCTTGCTACTGCTGCTGCCATCACTGCTTGCTTGCTACTGCTGCTGCCATCACTGCTTGCTTGCTACTGCTGCTGCCATCACTGCTTGCTTGCTACTGCTGCTGCCATCACTGCTTGCTTGCTACTGCTGCTGCCATCACTGCTTGCTTGCTACTGCTGCTGCCATCACTGCTTGCTTGCTACTGCTGCTGCCATCACTGCTTGCTTGCTACTGCTGCTGCCATCACTGCTTGCTTGCTACTGCTGCTGCCATCACTGCTTGCTTGCTACTGCTGCTGCCATCACTGCTTGCTTGCTACTGCTGCTGCCATCACTGCTTGCTTGCTACTGCTGCTGCCATCACTGCTCGTTTGCTACTGCTGCTGCCGTCACTGCTTGCTTTCTACTGCTGCTGCCATCACTGCTTGCTTGCTACTGCTGCTGCCGTCACTGCTTGCTTTCTACTGCTGCTGCCGTCACTGCTTGCTTTCTACTGCTGCTGCCATCACTGCTTGATTTCTACTGCTGCTGCCGTCACTGCTTGCTTGCTACTGCTGCTGCCATCACTGCTTGCTTGCTACTGCTGCTGCCATCACTGCTTGCTTGCTACTGCTGCTGCCATCACTGCTTGCTTGCTACTGCTGCTGCCGTCACTGCTTGCTTTCTACTGCTGCTGCCGTCACTGCTTGCTTTCTACTGCTGCTGCCATCACTGCTTGCTTTCTACTGCTGCTGCCATCACTGCTTGCTTTCTACTGCTGCTGCCGTCACTGCTTGCTTGCTACTGCTGCTGCCTTCACTGCTTGCTTGCTACTGCTGCTGCCATCACTGCTTGCTTGCTACTGCTGCTGCCATCACTGCTCGTTTGCTACTGCTGCTGCCGTCACTGCTTGCTTGCTACTGCTGCTGCCATCACTGCTTGCTTGCTACTGCTGCTGCCATCACTGCTTGCTTTCTACTGCTGCTGCCATCACTGCTTGCTTGCTACTGCTGCTGCCATCACTGCTTGCTTGCTACTGCTGCTGCCATCACTGCTTGCTTGCTACTGCTGCTGCCATCACTGCTTGCTTTCTACTGCTGCTGCCATCACTGCTTGTTTGCTACTGCTGCTGCCGTCACTGCTTGCTTGCTACTGCTGCTGCCATCACTGCTTGCTTGCTACTGCTGCTGCCATCACTGCTTGCTTGCTACTGCTGCTGCCATCACTGCTTGCTTGCTACTGCTGCTGCCATCACTGCTTGCTTTCTACTGCTGCTGCCATCACTGCTTGTTTGCTACTGCTGCTGCCGTCACTGCTTGCTTGCTACTGCTGCTGCCATCACTGCTTGCTTGCTACTGCTGCTGCCATCACTGCTTGCTTGCTACTGCTGCTGCCATCACTGCTTGCTTGCTACTGCTGCTGCCATCACTGCTTGCTTTCTACTGCTGCTGCCATCACTGCTTGCTTTCTACTGC